TTGTTAGTCTTCTTTTTATTTTTTTTTTAATTTTTTTTATTTGCATTTTTATTTTAGATGGTTTATTAACATTTGCCCATACCACCACAATTATTATTCTCGTGTTTATAACGATGAAATAATTTTCACTATTTAACACTCAACCATTTTTACCTTAATAGAAAGTATGGGATCTAATGGTTCTTTTTTATATGTGGGAATGGAGGGAAATTTTTAATTGTACTATTGGGAAAGATATTTGACTTTCCAAAAATTAACTAAATTGTTTTTATATTGTTTTTTTAATTTTTTTTAAGAATAATTTCTAAATAATTTGGAAAACAATATTTATTAATTATATATTATTATATATAATTTATTATATAATTTTTATACATTTTAAATTTGTAATTTTGTTTAAGTAAAAATTCTTCTAAGCAAAATACAATTAAATTAATTTAATTTAATTTGAGATAAATCGACGAGTTTTAGGGGTAAAAAAATTGCCAATTGAATTAACAATTGTGATGCATCAATAATAATAATAATAATAATAAAATATAAATTCATTGAATTTGTAGACATTCGTGTATTGAGTTAAAAGATTGTTAAAGGAAGACGTCGAAAGTCGACGGGGCACGACCGATCCCGGGAAGCAGCGCATCACCAGGTCGTATTCAATCACCGTGACATTCAGCTCACGACTTTTGCCCCAGGAGGTGAGAGCAGCTTCCAGTCGTATTGAACAGGATGCATCTCTCTCTTTCTCTCTCTCTCTCTCTCTCTCTCTCTCTCTCTCTCTCTCTCTCTCTCTCTCTCTCTTGGTGCATTACGCGTTTACCACCAACGCTATATTACCTACCTCTATCTTTTATACTTTTTAACTAAATCTTTCGCAACTATTAAACAGACTTGCAATTCTTATTGAACACTCTCTCAACTAGAGAGAGTCTTTTAACATGTATAATAAATTAACTGTATTAATTATAAACGAACTAATATGAACTAGTTAACGAATTATGTCAAACTCAGACAATGAAACTCAATGTTTTCCGTAATAATAATCATCATCATTATCATCATCTTCTTCTTCTTCTTCATCTTCTTGTCTTCTTCTTTGTCCACTGGTGTCCTTAATTAACCTAGTCATTAGTAAAGCAATACAGAATTGACAGGAATAAAAAAAGTCTAAGCTCAGAAGCCAGTAGGAAGAAACGCAAGGCCGATAATCATCGCTTGAACATAATTGAGAGACAAGGTACATAAGCCCTCCTTCTCTCTCTCCCTCTCTCTCTCTTTTACTCTCTCACGAGTATATGTTGTGACAGGAACGATAATTTCGTACAAACGGTTGGATATTTCACGCCTGCGGGAGACCTGTTCCGATTATGGCTGCACTTCTTCATCTCTTTCGTTGAGGTACATTTTACTTTCGATCTCATCTGTGATTCACATCGCTTGCTAACTCAATATGCTAACTCGTATATATGCATACATTTATTTATTTAGTTTTCAATCTCATACTTAATCTATTAAATTGTTATATATATATTGCTATTATTTGGAATATAATATATTAGTAATTATGTATATGTTAATATGTTATAATCATTATATTTAATATTAATATTGATATATTATAATAGCTAATATATTATATATTTAATAATAGTTAATATATTAATAGTTAATATACATTATATATGCAATATTATTATTTTATTAAATCTAAATTTAATAAAATTAAAAAATTTTAATTCATATATATATAATATTATATTTATAAAATAGTATATATATTATTATATATTGTTTAGTATATATATTATTATATATAGTATATATATTATGTATATATATTGCTATTTTTTTATTTCACTAAATTCTTAGGACCTTTATCATAATGAAAAGAAAGAAAATGAACAAAATCGGATATACTATATCCGAACGTAATTCAAAGTGTGATTTCGTAGGAAATGACTGTGGTTTCGAATGAAAGAACTATGGTTTATAAAAAATAAAAAAGACTCTTTCTTCTTATCGAGATCACGAAAAAAGGGGGACTCTCAATAAACCTGTGTCGTTGGTTTAACATGGATGACCGTAAGGAAAGGATTCTCTATCTACAAACCAAAAACAGAGAGAACGAGGGAATCGAGAGGGGGAAAGAATAAAAATAAGAAGAAAAACGAATAAAAATAAGATTTGGTAGAAAACGTGCGAAAGGTGTCGGGATGAAGAAAGAACGAGATAGCGTTTTACGACTTGGCGAATTTATTGGTAGGCCGGTAGGGTGGGTCTTCCCCCACAAAAGTACATTGCGATTCCCGAATAAGCACACGAATAGGTGTCACACACACGTCTCATCCTTATCTTTTTCACTCTCTCTCTCTCTCTCACTCTCTCTCAAATACAAAAACATCACCTCTAACCGGACTGACTGATTGTGCACAAATTTTTCTTTTACAAGTGCAAAGCTAGCGACAAATGCGTTAATTGTAAAATTGATATACATTAATTATTAAAATTAAAATTAAAATTATAATAATAATAATAATAATATAATATAATATATTTATTTATTTATTTATATATATATATATATATATATAATATATTTTAATATAATAATTATATTAATCATAATTATTATAATTAAAAAAAAAAAATAAAATAAAATAAAATTATTATCACTCCTATCACTAGTTACAAAGTGATAACACGATTCACCAATTACATGACTAAGTTTTACTCACATTATTAATAAACGTTGTTTTTTTTACTTCTTTTTTTTCACCTAAATATTATTAAATTTTTGTTTTAATATTTAATAATACGATCGTAAAAAAGAAGAGATTTAAATCGCATCGTCCACGTATTTTATTTTTTTTCTGCTTTTTCTTTTTTTTTTGTTACGTTACGTTATTATGTATATTAAAAAGAGATACATATATCATGAAAATGAGAAGAAGAAGATACCACAAAAAAAAAAGAAAAAAGCTATGTACAAAGCGCGACATCAAATATGTTGTTGTTGTTGTTGGTTCCTTTTTTTTTTAAACGAGATGATACGAGATACATTTCTTTCAAAAAAAAAAAAAAAAATATATATATATATAAGGGACCCCCGATAAAAGGGACACACTCACACTTTTGTGTTAAAAACAAATTTTTATCTTTCTTTTCTTTTTTGTTCGCTAACATTTTTTACCTTTCCGACCGTCTGATCGGCCACTCTCGATAATACTCGAGATGCCTCAGCTGGTTTTTACTTTTCTATTTATTTACGCGAGTTTTTTTCTCTCTCTCTTTCTCTCTTTTTTCTAACGCGTGTACGTAATTCTTTTTTTTTTTATAAAGAATTTATGTATTATTCGTGTGTACATATTCGTGTATGCAAATAATTCAAATTAAATCAAGCAAAACATCTGATACAATCATATACATATATATACTAAAAATATAAATTAGCAATCTACAAATGTTTCTCATTTTGATTCTTGTTGAACGATGATTTCGTCTACAGAATGAACAGAAACGATTCACATTTTCATTCGTGGGCGTTCCATCTCACGAAGGACATTCATTGATTGTATAAACGACCATAAAAAAAAATCCACGCAAGTTTGATCGAGACTAAAGAATGGAAAAATCGATTGAATAAATCGGTTGGTTGTTAGAATGCCAATACCATTCTACCGAGCCTTGGCTTGTCTTCCATAGACGAAATCAAAGTTGACAACTTCTTGAACGGTTTAACCCAGTGGAAATTGATTCTAACTGACCGGTGTATATATTTTTATTGCCATGATCAACTTACGTAGTAATTGTGGGACCCGCCTCTCATTTTTTACGACCCCAAGGTCATCGTGTTTATACATATTAAGAATATATTATAACGCCGATATCATTTGAAAAATCTATTTTAATAATTTGATATAAAAAAAATAATAATTAACTATTAATTAAAATCGATTTTGTTAGACCAAATTGTTCCTATTAGTGTGTCGTCAAACCAAGAAAGAACAACGAAATGAAAATTATCAATAAGAATATTTGTTTCAACGTGATGGGCACCACCAGATGTTTCCAAGTTGGACAACGACAACTAAGAAGACAACTAAGTCGCCTAGGGCTTGGGCGTGGTTCACAGTAGCCAAGAGAGAAAAAAGATCAAGTAGTAGGTACGTCGAAGATGTTGCATCCTCCC